TGCATTAGACGCCTTCAACTCTAACGCTAAGAGCAGGCTTATGGATATCGGTAGCCGTACTCGTTGAACTCGACAAAGACTTCGAAATGCAACCTAACCCAATCAGCCCGCTGAGGTTCTCACCGGATCTTCTCAGCGGGTCGCGGCTCTGATCTGTAGATTCATTCGCGAAGCAGTTGTTCTTGAGTTCAGTGAGTCAGCTGTTAGTAAATCCCACCCCTCCTGGCTGAGCCTTTGCTCGCCCACCTATCTTGGTGAAACCGGAAAGGCCTCTGGGCTCTGGTATTCCCGCATTCATAAAAAAAGCAAAGGCGATGTTTCGTACTGGTTACTTCTTTAGCCATTTACGAATATCAATAAAATTTTCTTTGACCCTTTTTTAGCTAAAATCCCGGCATTTGTTATATAATCACCAACGTCATTACTGTAGCAATGTCAGGGTCACAATAACTCCCCACCAAGAGCTATTTTTTAAACTTTAAGGTTAAACTTAAACGTTAAACTTTAAGGAAAGACGGTAGAGATTTTTGCCTCTATTTAATTATTTTGCTATAATTAAGGTAGAACTATGGCGACAGGTCACACTGGTCTATTTCTATGACAGTTAACTACACACATTCATAATAAAGATCAGTGTCCTTAAGCTCCAATAGACCGGTGATGACATGTGAATCGCAAAATTTCAAAAATATTTCGTCCGAGTGCGATGAGTTTTCTTATGGCTGTTATCAGTAGTTCAAAAATAGCCCAGTGGGTTTTTCGCCGGATCTTCTCAGTGGGTCGCGACTCCGATCCGGTAGTGTAATAGATTCTGCGAAGTTCTGCTCTTGTTAGGGCTAGTATTGGCAAATTTTCTCAGGTTGAGCCCATGAGCTCACCTACCCGCTCATAGGTTACCAGCGAATAGATATGGAAAAAAAGTAACAGAAATATGGTTGGCTTAGAACTTTCCGTATGTATATACAAATATACTTAGTACTGCCTATATATAAATGGCGGGCGAGCCTTTATTAAATCTGCGTGCTTCATTTAGGCATTTATTTTACTGGTAGTAGGACCTCTTGAGTTTGCACGGGTAGGTACCACCACCCTGCATATTTCTGTCGTGAAGCAGTAATGCGTTTCGGTTTGAAGGGTGGGGCAGCCGTTGTAACTATACAGGGACCTTAGAACTTATATCTCAAGGTGGGTGGCGCATTTACGTTGTAGATGTCTACGGGCTCCGGTAACCACTTAACACCAGGTGGGCTGTGAGATCGTCCACCCATTTAAGCAATAAAAAAATAAAATTAAGCGAAGCTAACCACGAAGCGTGATCGGGCTTCAGTACTTGATGTAAAAATTTCTTAGTACAAATTTACTACGTGCTAGTGATAAGAGCACACGTGCTTTAATATCGTTTGACGCATTTTTGCCGATACCGGTCACAAGTGTGTTTGCGTCAAGCAAGACGCAAACGGGCCTTTATCTAATTGTGTTGCAGTCACTCCTGTGAGACGTGTTTTTAACACTCGCTTATTAGCTCCGTATGTGTTTTTTTATGTAATGGAACCTTCGAATGTCATTTTACATCGATTTCAAAGAAGTCCGTTAGTGAAAATTTACACACGCATCAAAGGCCAAAGAAAATACAATGATTTTGTTATTTTGCTGTAACTAGAGGTCCCGCAGTAGTTGAAATTCCCCTATAATTTATTGGAATTGTAAGTTTGTACACTATTATGATTGTATTTTATACTTCTATAATCACAAATTTTGCCAAGACTACATTATAAAAAATATTAACAAAGACAAACCATATTCTATTCTCAATTTGACAACAGACGTCATAAACAAAAGTTTGACAATAAATGTATGCATGCGTGTGTGCGTCAAATACATGGTATGTAGTGTGTGTAATGTTTTCTTTATTGATTTAATGTATCTTTTATGCATTATTTAAAAAAAATATTAGCATTGTGCACTTCTTCTCTATATTCTCTATAAGTGTGGAAAATTTCATACTCCTCCGTCCGCGCAATTTTCGTAAAAAGGAATACAAAGTTTTTGCTTCACGTATTATTATATAGATATCCAGACCGGCATCAACTGGATATGAAAATTTGAAATTAACTGTCAATTCGTTTCGGTATTTGAGCATGTTTTGTTAGTTTGCAAACTATATGTACTTATTTTATTTGATACTGTATGGCGTTTAGGAAACAACGTAGGCAGCGGCTTCGCTCTGCCCATGGCATTGCTGAAGTCCATGGGCGACGGTAACCACTCACCATTAGGTGGGCCGTATGCTCGTCTGCTTGCGAAGGCATTAAAAACAATTGCTCTCTTTTACTCAAAACTGCTCTTATAATGGACAACTGCAGATGGGACAGAAAATTTCTACTTTAAAGGTCAAGATAGACATTTCGTGTACTTCTGTTCCCTTCTCTGAATGTATTTCTTTAGATTATTGAGAATTGTTTGTTTCTTACCATGAAAATGTCATGTCACTTATAAAGTACATAATATAGGGCATTTAGTATAACATTTAGAATCAATTAAATTTAAGGAACCAAGAATTTAAAGGAATGTATTTTAAATGTCGCTTTTTTTTCGTTATAAGGCAACGAATTATTCGATATCTTAATAAATGAGTAAATTTCGCAATGTTTTAAAAATTGCTTTGTGGTGGCGTACAGGTAACAAAATTTCGTTGCAAAAGTAGGTATAATTTAAAACATTGTAATTATTTGAACAAATGAGTTCGCAGACCATCTGATGAACAGATTATTAGAGACCACATACTATGTATCCACAGGTCGATATCACAATATGCTACGGATACCTTTAAGTTACCATCGAAACTTACATTCTCTAAATTCTTATTTACTTACAGCAGTAAACATATAATACCTATGTAATTCAATGGCAGGCATAAAACTGTACCTACATATTTTTAATTAAATCTCAAAATTCGAATAATTTTAAAAGTTCATAAACAAATAATTCCACAGATAACAAAAAAAATCAAATGTTGTCCATAAAGAGACTAAGTCCCGATTAATCGATGATGATAGATAATCGATATTATCTTTACGACAACATCGAATTTACCTGCTATCTTATCAAAATTTTATAATTAATTGATTCTCGATAAAACTTGGCAACACACTAGCATATCAACAGTTTAATTATAAAAAATAATCACCTTCAAAGTGATTCTAGGCTTTTAATGTAATCGATAAGTCTTTTTTATTTAATACTTTAATTCAATATTGACTTGATAACGCAATAATTTGTTCATCTATAGTAAAATTGTAAAGTTTTATTTTTGTTTTCCATTCTTTTTCATCAGTACTTTCATTATCATTACAATATTATTTAGGCATCTCGCACTCAAGTACTGTTTTCTAAGTATTTATGGATTGCGAAAATCAAATTTATGAGATAAAGTAGTTTACTATAAAGAGAACACGGATTTCTTTGTAGCTACTAGTAATAACACTTCAATTGGTTTCGTTCGCAGATCTAAATTAAGCGTTATATAACAGTGTTCGACATTGTTAGGTAGGTACTAAATTAAATACAGATGCAACATTTATATTCTATGGACATACAGTTTCACACAGACGAGTGACCAACAATGAAGTCTTATTCAAATTATTTTAAATGTAATTTGTATTTGGTAACAAATAGGTATCGATGCATTTAAATTTACTTCAGTGTTTTTTTGCATAATTTGAGAACGCCTGGACCGATTGGGATATTTTTAAGCTATGAAGAACTTCATAGACCGAAGAAGTTATATAGAAAACGACAAAATTTGAATAAATGTACGGAAAATTGAAATAATTGTTTTGTAACAAAGCAAAAATATTTATCTACATTCCTTCTAACATCAAGTATGTATTTATTATTAACATATCTTAAATTAAAATATGCATCGATTTTTGTTTGTTTGCTTCGAATTGTGCTTGGAAGGTTTTCATTAACAATGTATTTTTGTAACGTTGGAACAAAAATGTGGTTAGCCACATTTATTAAAATAAAAAAAAACAGCAAAAAGGTCACGATTCGTGTTTCTTTTGATCCTTGGCTCCATAGTCACTAAATATATTATTTTTGTTTGTTAAAAGACATAAAATTAACCAAACATCGCTCGAATATATAAAATTGAATGAAAATTTGTGTTCGAAAAACTTGAATAAGCGAATTAAAATTATGTTTTATATTAGTATACAAATAGTAGAAGACTGATTTATTTAGAGCGCAGCCATTGAAAATAGATATATAAAACTTATATTCGGCTTGTTCAATATAACCATAGTTCATTGATGAGACAAGAATCTAGTTTTTTACGACATCTTTGATTGCGTTTACGCAAACAATCGTAGCTACTAACTATAGATTTAAGGCACAGATATGTTAGCGGTTTTAGTAGTAATAAAAATCACGGTTCCCGTTGACTAAGAACATTTGATGCGCAGTTATCGCACATAGCGGCGGAGTCGAGTGTTGTTCGCGCCCTATCAGCTAATCAAATTGGGAGCGTATCGATATCGCGGACGTCTCTGATAACGCAACGCTATTATCTTAATTGATTGTCTCTTTTTTTGACAAAGTAGCGGCAAATTTTCTTTGATGTATCGTAACCTAATGTGACAATAGTTGAGAAAGAGCTACCGTATCTATTCTATACTAATATATAAGTATAAACAATCTACAGTGGTTTTTACGGATGTTCCGTTATAACTACTGAATCATGCATCCGATTGACTTGAAACTAGGTATCCATGTAGAAAATACATGTACTTAATGGATAGGCTAATATTTTTATGAGTGTTGGACTCCCTACACCAGTTGCGGGGGCGTTAATGATGAGAATCTTTGTGGGGGTGAAAAATAATAATGTTAATTTTAAATTCCCAGCGAAGTGGACGAGTACCTAGTACCTAATATGTATTGCTTAAATCAGCTAACTTGTTTAAAATTAATTAGTTACTCTGATGTTTTTATTGCAGGTACGAACAATATGAACTCGCTTCGTAGTACAAAAGCAACGTGAGGCTGGTTTGAAAGTAAATCCGTGCAACATGCCAAGACTGAGCTCGATCGCTTTCGTCTAGTGATTGAGCGAACCCGGACTGAACTATTGACTGCTGGAGATGCGGATAGGAGAGTGGACTTTCAGTGCGTGTGTATAAAAGCGATGCATGGTGTGTGAGATCGGTGCCGCGGTCATGGACATGAGCGGAGAGGGCGGCGGCGCGGGGGCGAGCGCGCTGCAGCAGCGGTGGTACGAGAGCCGCCTTAACGGCAGCCCGGCCGCCGGCGACGTCAACGCGGAGACCAATGGAGACGGCTTCTTCCATTCTCCGCTCGAAGGGGGCCACCATAGCCGCGCCCGCTACTACCATCAACAGATGCACGCCCCCTACTCGGCCGCTGTCGGTTCGCATGGTAAGCTCTTATTATTTTATTACTTATTATTTAAATCTCTTTCCACAGGATGTGTTTAATTGCCCTATAATTCATGTACGTTTAAGATACGCCATTTAAATACTTTTTTTTTCCAAGAAATGGATGTCATAACAATTAAGTATTTCAAATGAACCCCTAATTCCAAGACAGAAACTGTCAGAATTAAGCAAATTGGTCCCACCGACGGTAGGCAGGCCGGTCGGACCGCGTTATCGCACATCAGACGATATCTCTCCAAAAACTCCACAATTAATTCAACGGACCTAACCAGTCAAAATCGCCATTCTGTAAGGTGACAGCTTAGGTAAACACGATCTAAAATGGGCCTCGCTCGTAAAAGAAAAAAAAAATGATTCCATACTTTTTGTTTTTTCTTTTGAGGTTTAAATTTTATGGCCGCCATAAAGTTTTCCGTGGAGACAGGTGGCTCTTCTTTATATTTTAACTACTCGCCGGGGTGCGTACAAAAGTTCGTCTACAGCGAGGCCTTTAGGGATTAGATTGGCATGTGGTCGATGCGAGGACGATTAAAATTTATTTAGCGGTCCGTCGGTAGTGATGCGACACTTAAGAAACTGTGTCATTTCTCGGAATCGGAACCGGGAATTGATTTCGTCGCGTTCACAGCAGTTATGTGTTGTAGTTTATGCGGGGGACGAGTCCGGACCGGGCCCGGCGACGCTTTGGCCTTTCGATATGTTTGTAAAGCAACTCTGTTATCGTGTCCGGTCGATTCTCGATGCGGCTTCTTGTTGCCCTGATTGTATCTGAAACCGGTAAATTCGTCAGCTCGACAAACGCCGTCCTTTCGATTAGTTTACTTAGGCATCTACATATAAAATTATGTGAAACATTGATTACCGAATAATAAATTTAAAATGTTGGTAATTTAATATCTTTGATCTTAATTTTGGTGGCGTGTTTTTTTTGTTGAAAGCGCATTCTTTTCTTGATGTTGTGTATGACTTTTCAGTAATCTAGATTAACCATTTTCGGGTAATCTGATGAGATAAGGCATTGACAAGTTCAAATGACAGGAGTTACATTCATTTCTACTTTGATTTCGCTGTGGACATGAGGAGTTATGACTGATTACGTATTAAACTTGAAGAACCGGTTTTCTATATATTAGAAATTGTTGACATAGAACGTTCGATCACTAAGTTAATTCAATAGACGATACAATAAGCATCTTTAGCTTATTGTTTTGTGTAAATCAATCTTTTTATTTTTCCAAATCTTATGTTTTGTTTGAAATAATTTTGTGAAGAATCATCTCATTAGAGAGGATATTTTTGAGAAGTGAAACAAAGTTTTCCAAGTTTTATCGTTTTTTTTGTTGTGTCGACTATATCTTAATTAATTCATATTAAAATACACCAAAAGACCAATTATTGTAAAAAAAAGTTAAAATTAACAGATATTTTCCTTCCTTTCTTCTGGTTTGGACTTTTTGGTCCCCAATGTCCGCCATAGTTTGGGACCTGGGCGTTGAAACGAGTATAAGTTTAAAATTAAAATAACTCTGACGCGTTGACTTCAATGTCTTGAAGCTACGTGTCGTTCGAGTGTGAACTGATCACGGGTTACATTGACAGCTCGGTTGCCATGGCGACGACTGGGTAACGCGACACCGCGGTCCTCCGATTTGACGCGTCCAATTATTTACTACCCGCGTGACGATTGATGTTACTCTTAAAATTATTTATTCATTTACGTATACGAATCGGCTTTCGTCGTCGTTATCATGTCTCTCGTATACGTGATTCATTACAATTACTAACTTGAGAAGTTAACGTTACCTACACGATTTTTTTCTTAGGGCATTTACAGAATTTTATAAAATCACCTATATTTTTTAAGTCCACTCTCTTGGACAAAACAAAAATCATCGAACGATCATACAAAAAGACACGTAGGTTCGTAATTATTTTTTCCTAAAGTCTACAGGGTATTGTAAATGTCTTTTTTCAATTACCACATTCTCGGGGTAAATTGAAACTGACAAAACGAGGTAGAGTGAATTCAGCTCATCACTACGCTGTGCACTCCTTGACTGAGCATTCGTTTTGTTAATAACTTCGTATGCTATAAAAGAAAAACTAACTAGACAAAAGTACAGCGTAAATTGGTTTCTATTTCGTTCGCATTAAGGCTGAGATCGTTGTTTATTGTGTACTGCAGGCAAAATTGATTGGCAGTACGTCTGGCTCATCACTACGCAAACTTCGATTTCTTATCCTTTTTGTAAACCGTTTTTAAACACACATTAATCTGTTTTATTTTCAATGAGAACTGAAGTTGGAATGCTTGATTTTATTAAATACATTTTATTACTTACCTACCAACTAAATTAATTATCATGTTTAATGATATGACTTTGATACTTTGAGGAGTGTTTTTGTTAATTTCTTTTTACAGCATCAGATGTTGTTGGCTTTTATAAAAGGTGAATTTTCAGAATTTTCCCACGAATATCAAAATATCATTAAGGTATATTAACGTAAGCATTAAAAAAAACTGTTACTTCGTGTCGTTGTATACGCCAAAACTTAACTTTTATTATCGCAAAATGAATACCCCCTGTTGTTTAACTGAAAATAATTATAATCGCTGCACCCATTCGTAACATCCTGTGCATTTATTTTAATTTACCCTTCGGTTTGTACGTGCAACATTGCTCGTTGCGTGTGCGTGAATTTGTACAAGAGTGTGTGGACCACTGAGCTGTGATTGGTGAAAATAATGTACACGGGCGGGGCGTGCGTGTACGCACGACGCGACGTCGCCTCTCACGCACACCGACCGCCTCTGGTATTCGTTGCGATGTTGCCAACAAACGCTAATTATTTTTCCTATTCAATTTGCAATCTCGTGTACTTTACGAACAATTGTTTGAACAAATATACGTATGAGGAATATAGGATATTTTAGGAAACATTTAGGGATCTTCCCTTCAAAGTTTCGTTGTTTTTTTAAATACAAATATGTACTTCAAAATAGTAGCTTACGTTGATTGTGGTCATTAATAAATATATGAGGAATATAGGAGATATTTAAGGAAACATTTAGGACTTTTCTTTCAAATTTTCGCTTTTTTTAAAATAGAAATGCTTCAAAATATTCATTTACTTTGATTGTGACCGTTAATGAATTCATAATGAAATGCTTTTTAATTATTATTTTTTATATATTGGAATCGTTAGTATAATTCTGGAATCGTTCGGTTAACGTTAATTATGATGTTGGTCATAAAATTAAGATACAGCTCTGAATGATTGCCATGAATTAATTAATAATCAAATCGCCGTAGGAAACTCAATCCATATTTATTTATCGCGTAGAATTAAATTTATTACCGAATAAAACAAAAAAAAACTTTTGCTATAAAATTCGACATTAAAACTGTTGATCTATGTACCGGACCAAATTTATGCTTAACGGCATTAACAGGTAGGATGTCAGTACTCACCCGTGTAGGCTATAGAATGTTCTAGAACAAGAGCATTCATAAAAAAAATATATTTTTTTTGCTTAGATGGGTGTACGACCTGGTGTTAAGTGGTTACTGGAGCACATAATCATCTACAACGTAAATGCGCCACCCACCTTGAGACATAAGTTCTAAGGTCTCAGTTATAGTTACAACGGCTGCCCCACCCTTCAAACCGAAACGAATTACTGCTTCACGGCAGAAATAAGCAGGGCGGTGGTACCTACCCGCGCGGACTCTCAAGAGGTCCTACCACCAGTAAAAATATCATAAAATATATGAATAAATGTCATAAATATGATTTTAATATTAGTGTAATTACATACAAAAATAATCGTAAATTTTATTTCGAAACTCGACATTTCGCAGAATCTTACGATTAACTAGCCGTGCTCAGTTGTTCGTTGGAGCACTCGACTGTAAGGCGTCATAGCACATTAAGCAGTCAGCGGTTTTTTGGAAGAACATGTAGGTAATGTATTGAATACGTAGTGACAGATATAAGATAATCGAAATGTTTGTGCTTAAAAGATACTAGATGATGACCGGTTTTTTTTTGATAACGCCATTTTGTTGTGTCTTTAAAGCGGTTAGTTGCCCTCAATTAAGAAAAATAGTATTATTATTCGCCAATAGATGTCGGGAAGAGTTGATTATTGAAAACACGATTAAATAAAAACATTTTCTGAAAATAAATCGTAGCTAGATCGATTTATCGCCCCCGAAATCCCCTGTATACTAAACTTTATGAAAATCGTTGGAGCCGTTTTTGAGATTCAGATTATATATATTAATATACAAGAATTGCTCGTTTAAAGGTATAAGATAAGTAGGTACGATTACCTACGTGAAGCATTGTATTAGTATCTCTGTTGGTTTTTAAAGATAAATAATAACTTTCAGAGTAAAACATTATCGGACACTAAAGTTGCAATAATGTTATTAAAGCATTATTAAAACGAAATAAAATAATGGTATTTCATATAAATACCGAAATATACTAGAACAAGTTGGAAGAGCAATTTAAAAACAAATAGTGACGGAACTACTAAATAATTAATTATATTGTTCTAAATTTGAATCCATCATTAGTGATTTTAAAGTTAGTAGTCAGTTTCGCGGGTCGTAGAAATAATTAAACCTACTTTTACGGTTTAATATTGCGTTGTTTCGAATACTGTACAATTTTCGTGGTCATGGATGCCTAAGGTGTCTTTGGTCGATATTTGAATGATGAAATTTGAAACTATCGTCTAATATTTTATAGTAGGTAAGTAAATTAGTAAACAGTACAATTAATTTTAATTGGATTTCAAAATGAATAATTAATAATGCAAATTTGAGAAATAAATAATAAGAATAGATTTCAGTTGATACAAAATAAAAAATAAACACGAAATAGTGCTGCAACACAATTACGAAATATCGATTTTTCACTCGTACAAAATATCTATTCGTTCAGAAACAGCCGCGTTTAGTTTTATTG